TTATTTTTTTCCTTTTATTATTTTGTCTGCCTGTCTTGCTTTTTCTCTGCATTTGCCTGATTTAATTGTACCTTAATGCAATATTATATACATAAAGTATGCATATTATATATGAACATAAACTATGAGTTTAGAACAATCAGGAAATTGTCAGCCAATTAAACTTATTAAGGAAAAAAACCGAGGATATCTAAACTAAAGGGAAAAAACTGTTTAATAGCAAATCATGTTTTTATTACAAGGCTATGTCCCCTGGTAAATATATTATTTATTATTTTACCATCATAACTGACAAGACTCATAACAATCATGGAATAATAATACATTGAGGTTTTTCTTCAGCTGTTCTCTCATTTCCCGTTGGATTCGTTATATCCTTTCATCGTCTTTCATTTCCCCTGGGGTTTCGGTAGGGATTAAAGGGTTGGGAGGGGAGGTCATCATCATCCTTGCCTTTCTTACCCTGCACCAGGGTATAGGCCACGGACAAACACTTTCCACTTTTCTCTATCCTACTTGCATTCGCGTCTGCCTTTAGTTGTCTTCTTATTCTAATTAAATCTAATGAGTGTTGGTTAATTCACTCCTTGCGCTCCCATTTCTTTTCACCGAGTACTTCTTGACATGTCGATTTAAATACTTCTTTGATCTTGGTCCACTGTGTATCCACCTCCTTGTCCTCTCTACCAATATCAGCCAGAGGTTGAAATCTGTACCTCAACTGCAGTTAAAACGCCTCTTTCTTGTGTCCATCTAAGAGACTTACTTGGAATGGGAGTGGGAGGTGCAGGGGTAGAAAATAGGGGTGGGGGCGGGAGGGAGGGAGTTAATTGCGGATTATCAGTTGATCTTATCGTTCCTTTGACTCATTGAAAACACGACGGCTACTGCCTGACCAGCATTTTGATGGCGGGCGTCTCAAACTTTAATTGGATTGTATGACATGCACCAACTCCTTTTTTTCATTTTGGGGGTTTGTTCTAAAAATACAAAAGGAGAAAAACAATTTTAAGGGATTATTTCATATCATTCCGGGTTGGCGGCCTATAAACCTACTTTTCTCGGTGTTCATCTGTTTAGTGATCGCAGATATGCACAATGTGCACACGAGACCCCCAACAATTTTTCTTCCTTATCCAATAAAATGATATGCTCGACCTTAGCAAACCAAAGAGTTTTGTGTGCCAGAGTGAGTGGGCGGGTGAGTGTGCGCTCACGTGCGCGCCGGAGAGATAGAGAGA